CAGATCGAAAGTTTCTTGAGGGCAAGAATCACAGTGCAGACATTTCAAACTCTTTGGCACTTACTAGACACAGTTTATTCCCATCATTCTTAAAATTAAATCCAGAGTACTTACAATAACCCACTTACCAGGCCCCTGGCTTCTTCCCCAAATTTATTTCCTACCCTCCTTTGTCTTACTTATTCCACTCTAGCCGCATTAGCTTTCATGCTGTTCTTGGACCATGACAGGATGATACTGTCTCAGCCCATTGCCCTTGCTAATGCCTCTGCCTAAATATTTTTCCTTCAGATAGGCTCCTTCCTTGACTTCATTATGTCACTTCTCAAATGTCACCTCCTAATAGAGGCCTTCCCTGACCACACTTTCTAAAATAGCATTGGCCCCATACATCTCTGTCGGTCAGTCTACCCTTTACCCTGCTTTCTCTGTCTTCATAGCACTTATTATTACCTGACATATATTTATTGAGTTGAGCCCCATGAGAACTCTGGTCTTGTCTGTTTTGTTCATTGCTTTGCCCCAGTATCTTGAACAGTGCTTGCTTGGCTCTCAATAACTAACAAATGAATCAATCTTTCAACTACTAAATAAATGAATGAATTCAGTGCTAGTGCCTGTGAAGAAAGGGATACATAAAAATTCTGTTCACTCCTAGAATTTTGAATACACTATAACTTTTATCCCATGATTTTGTCTTTCAGCTTTAGTATTTTCAAATTAGATCAATATCCATGTGTGGGTTTTGTTTTGATTTTACAAACATCACATTGACAAAATTTTAAATCCAATGTAACTCAAGTCCAAGTTTCAAACAAAATAGCTGTTTTATTTGTTCTCCATCACAAGGGGAAAGAGTATGTATGATTTTGTGTGTGTGTGTGTGTGTGTGAGAGAGAGAGAGAGAGAGAGAGAGAAGGAGAGAGAATGAGAACAATTACCTGCAGTGAGGAAATTGGATAGAATTCAGTAGTAGGTTAGGGAGGATGGAGCAGGGCAGTCCACGTTCCTTAGAAGGGAAATCATTAATTTCAGTTCTGCATTTTCTCTAAACTATTGCTCCAAAATCCTTTTAATAACCCAACTTAAACCAAAGAAATTAAAAGCCTGGTGAACTACATGTTTATAAATATAAATATATAAGAGCAGGGAATTTCTCAGGGACTTATGCAGGACATTCCACAATACATCATGTAAAAATGTATTAAGAGAATATCTAGAGACTTCTGCCAAGATGGAGGCGTAGGTGGAAGCACTTTGCCTTCTCACACAACCAAGTTTAAATACAACAAAGTTTTAGCAACAAAAACACAGCCAAACCACAGAAAATTGAACTATACGGAAGTCTGACAACAACAAACCCTTCGGCCAAACCGGTAAGAGGGGCAGAGCCAGGAGCAGAGCAGGGTTGGGCAGGAAAGATCCACCAGACCGACCCGGGCAAGCGACTCAGGTGCGCCAGCAGCCATGGGTAGATCTCAAGTGTGGAGAAGTAGGTGGACCCACTGAGGGCGCAAGGCATTGGACCCACTGAGGGTGGACCGTGGTCACACATTCGTGCGCAGATAAACCAGTGAAGGAACTAGCGGTGGTGAGACGGACCGCGCAGGCCCCAGTGGTGGAAAGCAGCAGAGAGAACCTCCATTGTCCCTCTCTGACCCCACCCCCACATACAGCATCACAAACCAGCGACCTGGGTGGCCCCGCCCTGGTGAACACTTAAGGCTCCACTCCTCAAAAGTAGCAGGCACAAACAGATCAAAACATGGCTCAAGAACAACTCAGAGCCCCAGACGTGATAAATCTAAGCAATGAAGAAATAGCCAAACTTTCAGATGCACAGTTCAAAAAACTGGTGATCAGGATGCTCTCAGAACTGGTTGATTTTAGTCACAAATTAGAGGAACAAATGAAGGCTAAACTAATTGAAATGAAGGGAAATGCACAGAAAACCAATAGTGATGGAAAGGAAACTGGTACTCAAATCAAGGGAGTGGACCAGAAGGAAGAAAAAATGACCAAACAGAAAAATATGAAGAAACAAGAATTCAAAAAATGAGGAGAGGCTTTTAGAAACCTCCAGGACATCTTCAAATGCTCCAACATCCGAATTATAGGGGTGCCAGAAGGGGAAGAGGAAGAGTGACAAGTGGAAAACTTATTTGAACAAATAATAAAGGAGAACTTCCCTAATCTGGCAAAGACAATAGACTTCCAGGAAATCCAGGAAGCTCAGAGAGTCCCAAAGAAGTTGGACCCAAGAAGGAACACACCAAGGCACATCATCATTACATTAGCCAAGATTAAAATGGAGAGAATCCTAGAAGCAGCAAGTTATAAGGGGCAGTCACTTACAAAGGAGTTCCCATCAGACTGTCAGTGGATTTCTCAAAAGAGACCTTACAGGCAAGAAGGGGCTGGAAACAAGTATTCCAAGTCATGAAATCCAAAGACCTACATCCAAGATTGCTCTATCCAGCAAAGCTTTCATTTACAATGGAAGGGCAGATAAAGTGCCTCTCAGGTAAGATCAAATTCAAGGAGTTCATCATCACCAAGCCCTTATTATATGAAATGTTAAAGGGACTTACCTAAGAAAAAGAAGATAAAAAAGATGAACAGTGAAAGGACAGCAAACTCACAGTTATTAAGAACCACACCTAAAACAAAAGCAAACTAAGAGGACAACTAAATCAGGAGCAGAACCATAGAAATGAAGATCACATGGAGGGTTAGCAACAAGGGAGTGGGAGAAGGATAAGGGGGGAGAAGGTACAGAAAATAAGTAGCATAGATGGTAGGTAGAAACTAGACAGGGGGAGGGCAAGAATAGTATGGGAAATATAGAATCTAAAGAACTTGAGACACGTGGTCATAAACTAAAGGGGGGGAATGGTGGGGAGGGGGTGTGCAGGGTGGAGGGGAATGAAGGGAGAAATAGAACAACTGTAATGCCATAATTAATAAAATATATTTAAAAATAAAATAAATTCAGTTTTACACACACACACACACACACACACACACAAAAAGAGAATGTCCAAAATGGAGGTAGCTGTATGGTACCTGCTCGCCACCTCATATCTTCCCCCAACAAGGGAAGCTGTGACTTGGGAATTGCCCTGTTTGTTCTGGAAACATCTTCACCATAAAGTAGTATGTTCCTGCTCTTAGAGCCTAAATTCTATACAAGCAGCTTCTCTCTATTATGTGCAAAGCCACTGACAGTTGAAGGGAGGCTCCCAGCCTTCCTTAGAAGACAAGACCCCACATAAGTCAAAGCAGCAGCCAGTATTTTAAAGAAACCATATGAAGATCTGTTCTTAAATGTATAGAAGCAGTTTTTTAGGGTGATGGATCTCAAACTTTAGCATGCATAAGAATCACTTGAAAGGCTTGTTAAAATTCAGATTGCTAGGCCCCACTCCCAGAATCTCTGATTCACAGGAATTTAGAAGCAAAGAAGTTGGATTCAAGCTTTGTGTGTTTTACTTCATCTCTGAACCTGAGCTTATTCTTTTCTAAAGTAGAGTTTATAAGGATGTAGTAAGGATTACTACATCATTAAATGGAATCATTCCATCATTAAATGGAATGATGTCTGTGAAAGTTCTTTGTGAAGTGTAAACATGATATACAAATACTAGTTTTTAAGTGGTTTCACAAATGGTACTTGCTGCCACCCCTTGCCCACCAGATTTCCCTGTTCTGTCCCCTTTCCACCCAACTGTGTCCCAACCAATCCAACAGGCACCCAGAAAGAAACTAAAGCCAAGAAGGCCCTGAATAGCAAAAAAAATTTTTTTTTTCTTTTCAATTCATTGGACACAGCCTTGATGCTGACTTTGATTTTCCTCTACCTGTCTCCCATCAACTTACTCCGTGTTTCTCCAGCCCTGGCAGCCTCTCACAGCAAAGAACAACTCCCAGTACTAATATTGAGGTAAAAACTGTCAGATGGGTTTTCTTTTTAATTAATAGAATAAACAGAAGAATCTACTGCTAAGCAGGAAAGCATTTATTGGGGAAATTATTTTGCTAGGTTTGGTGGGCTGTAGGTTGATTTCCTTAAGGAGAAAATCTACGTGTTTGAAATAGTTAAATGGAAGCATAGTATACTTGCAGATTCCTGACTTTCAGACAGTTCTGACAGTTGCCACAGTAAATGATGTATCTATGTAGAATGGTGTCCTTTTTTTTGAAACCTTTTCTCATTCAAAATTAATGCTTGTATAGTATAGGAAATTTCAGAATTTTAAATAAGTGAAAAAAATAAACATGACTCTTAATTCTGCTACATGGATATAAATACCTACTGATAAGATAGTGTATTTTCATCCAGACTTTTAATATGTGTATGCTTGTATATCAATATATATGTATATGCATATATATTTAGAAATTTGACTAGTACTATGTACAGGTTTGTATACAATTTTTCTTTCACTTAGGATTATATTGTGAGCCTTTTCCAAGATCATTAAGTAGTCTTCAAAAGCACGGTTTTTAATGGCAGACTATTATTGCTTCATGTACATGGACAATTTTTCACCTAACTCTTCCTAAATGTTGGATGGTTAGGATATTCCTAATTTTACCATCATAAATAACCCTGCAGTGAATGACACTTCATGTACATAAATCAATGTGTGTATTTCTAATTGCTATCTTAGGAGAGACTTCTAGGAGTGGAAAAAGTGTATCAAAGGGTAGGTACCTTTTTATTTATTTTTAATTGATGATATGTTTTTGTTATTTTAATAAATTTAAATCATCTTTTTGTGATATATTTTACATAGAATAAACTACATGTACTTAAAAGGTACAATTCAATAACAAATTTATATTCTGTGAAACCATTGCTACAGTCAATATACAGAACATTTCTAAAAAAGATATAATTTACATGCCATAAAATTCTTTACTTTCAAGTATGTGATTCAGTGGTGTTTAGTATATTCACAAGGTTGTGTGACCATTACTGATGTCTAATTCCAGAAAAACGTATGGAGCACTTCACAAATTTGCATACCATCCTTGTGCAGGGGCCATGCTAATCTTCTCTGCATCATTTCAATTTCAGCATATGTTGACTGAAGCAAGTACAGCAGGAACATTTTTTGTCTCTTGATAACATATGACAAATTTCTGTCTAGCAAATGTGCATCTATATCCATTCCCACCCTGCAATGTATAAGAATGCCTATTTCCCTACAAATTTACTGACATTATTTTTTAAAATTTATTGCTAATATCATTGAAAATTACATTTTACTGTTTTGTCTTTGATTAGTTCTTCTTCCTCTCCCACCTGAACTATATCTGTTATGTAGAGATATGTCATCCACCATCTTTCCTTTGCACACATGTACTAAGGGCAGTCACATCCACTGCAGTGCCCTTGGCTGCCTCCTTTCTGTGGATAATGACAACATGAACATACCTTTCTTTAACCTCTCTCCAACACTGCAGCCCAGATGTGAAACTTCTTACTGGGCATGCCTATTCAGATAATTTGACAGCATAACAAACAAACTTGCGTCTAAAGTCAAACTCATGTCTCCTGCAGCTAGCTCCTGCTTTCAACTTCCCTATCTAGATTAGTGATACCACCATTCTCACAGGTATTTCAGTCATTTTAACTCTTCTCTTTTCTCCATATTTAATTAATAGTCCAACCCTGTTGATTCTGTCTTACATATCTTCTATTACATTCTTCCCTTTTTCTCCATCCCCACTGTGATTGATCTAGTTCTGCCTTTTGTGTGTATTGCACTAGCCTACTCACTTCTCTGTTTCCAGCATTCAGCCACATAATTCATCCTCCATGTAATTATGAGAATAACCTTTTAAAATATTACTTTTACCATGTTGCTCTCCAGCCTGGAACCTCCAAAGTCTCTCTCTTGCCTACTGGATTATGTAAATTAAATGCTTTAACCTCACAGTTAAAGCCTACCATGTTCTTACATCATTCTAATTTTATTTCTTATGTGCCTTGTAGAAACTGTGTGTCCTTCCTGCAGCATATTCCTGCTTTTCCCACCCTTATTAATACAAAACCTGGCATAACCTCTCCTCTAGTCTTCTCCAGTTGAAATTGTACTGAGTCTTCAAAAATTGGCTCAGAGTCTCTGTAAAGTCTTCTTTGATTCAACCCCTAAGCTTTCTCTTTTATTTAACTCTCAGTTTGTTAGCATTTCCTTTATGACATGACATTTTGTCCTTTTTAATGATTACTTAGATGTTTTTATTCACCCTCTATCACACTGTAAATTCCTTGATCACAGAAATTATATATTTTTAGTTTTGGTGTGTTCCATAGTAGTACCTCTCCAAGCACCTTAAATGCAGATAGAAGCTCCATAAATGCTGAAATTAAAGAATGGTAAAGACTGCCAACATTTTTTAGAACTATTAATGACTCAGTTTCGGGAACAAATTCTGTGCTTAAAAGGAAAAGATGCAGGCCCTGGCTGGTGTAGCTCAGTGGATTGAGCATGGGCCTGCGAACCAAAAGATCGTGGTTCAATTCCCAGTCAGGGCACATGCCTGGGTTGCAGGCCAGTTCCCAGCAGGGGCCAGTTCCCAGCAGGGTATGCAATCAGAAGCAACCATACATTGATATTTCTCTCCTTCTCTCCTTCCCTTCCTTTCTAAAGATAAAAAATAAAATTGAAAAAGGAAAAGATGCCAGATGACCCAAATGTCATGGTTTATTCTTTTTTCCCCTTACTCTTCATATTCGATCTATCAACAAATACTGTCAACTCTATCTCTTCAAGATAGCTAATCAAACCTCTTTCTCTACTACTACTGCTTCTTCCGTGAACAAACCACCATTACTTCTTATCTATAAGAGCCTTTTAAACTGATTCCCCAGCTTCTAATCTTTTCTTACCTAAATCCATCAGCCAAGTGACATCTTTATACAACTTAGACTGTGGTAGTGCCCTGCTTAACAACCCCCAGTAGCTACTAACTGCATTGAGAATGAAATGAAACTACTTACCTTGACTTTGGAAAATTCCATGATCTGGCCTTGGCACTTCCCCAACCTCATCTTCTATTAGTGTACACCTTCCTCATTATGCCCTAGCTGTGCTGAGCATTGGCTCTTCCTCATTGTCACGTTTGCTCAAAGCAGAGTGAGAAGGTACTCTTGGTTCTATTGGGGTGCTGGCTATTGTTAGCTATTGTTCTAGGGTTTCACGTCTTTAGTAGTGCAAGTGGCCAGAAGTAATTCTAAGGGCTTTGAGACTTAACTTTGGGGATTCCATTTTTCTCCAGAAAAGTAGTATCTCCAATAATGAGTTTGAGATGAGAGGTATCTGGCTTGAAGGGAGAAGAAAGGGAATCTTGTATTATTCTTATAACCTCCTTCCCAAGGGATGCTATATACATTTCTGCTAGAAACTAGAGCTGGAGGGCAAGCATCCTCCATCTTCTTTATCACTCTTTGTACTAGTGTAGGAACTTGAGCATCACAGTGAAGCTGACTCTACAGATGTTTCTCTGTGAAACTGTTGTCACTTTCCTTGTGCACTCCTCTGAAGTCTCCATCAGCCCTCTGATATTGCACCCTTGCCTTTTGTATATACAAGAAAGAAAAGCCCACTTTCATTATTCAGTTCTTGACTTGCTCCCCTTGCTTCTAGAAGCTGTGATTTATGCACCATTTAACTCCTTGCCTTTGGGATAATTGACAAAAAAACAGTCTATGATATGTATGTGTGTGTTATCAGACTATCCATAGAAAAACTAGAATATGCTCTCCCACCCACTCTGAAAGAGAATTACATGTATTGTTTTTCTAAATTCCTAAGCTTTTTATAGCCCCTAATATTTTCAAAACTCTCTCAAATGATTCATATGGTTGTGGCCTTCCAACCTTCTTTAGAAAAAGAAGTATCCCTATGTTTTAAAGATTACAATGTGAAAATGGAGAAATGAAAACAGTCCTAAACAGAAAGCTATCATTCTCTACTTAGAAGGCCAAAAGGCACCCCCCTGATACAGACCAAGCATTTGAGGGAGTCTTTATTTTCACCACAACATTCCCTTCCTTTCTTACATATGTTCCTAGTTTTCTTTTGGCCAGAGATGCATCCTGAGATGGAGGGTAGAGAGAGGTATCCAGCAGATTTATATGAAAGATCTTAACCTGGATATTCAGATAATTGAGGGGAGGTGGAAGAGGTGGGAAAGGTAGGGAGGCAGAACTTTGCAACAAAACCTTCATCTACATAAAGTACTCATATCTTATATGACTCATTAAAACTTTCCCAGACTGAAAAGAAAGCCATTGTCTCAAAAATTCTCTTTAAAATTATACATATGTACACACACATACACAGAGATACATGTGCACACATGTGCACATACACACAAATATATACTCATACACACAGATGCACACACACATAGACATGTGCATTTACACACATAAACATCCCTATTCCTCCTTGGTTGGGTCTGTAGTAAGAATCTCTGTATCACCAGGCTTCAAGATCCCTCAGCTAACAATGAGGAGTGAGTGGGCCTTTGTAGCTCTGTGTCCATCCCTGGTGATCAAGCAGGCTTCCCCCTCTTCTGCCAGATAAACAAGCCATGCATTGTTCTGTCCACCAATGTACAGGCTTCCTTTCCTGCTGAGCCAGAATGAGCTTGGACTCCTTCATGTGGGGCAAAGTGGAATGTGCTATTGTGGGAGGCTGGAAGAGCCACAAAGAGTAAACAGGTAATCAAGCACACTCTTTTGTGCTTTTCCTTATCTAAACACTTTCAAAAGAGGAAAGAGCCTACAGTAGGTTATAGCCAAGACCTCTGACTAACTATAACCCAAGCAACAGAGACCATATTTTCCTTCTTGCCCTAGGATATCACAGAGTCATGGTTATCTTCCTGCTTGCTCCTTACCTGGCCCCCTCTAAGTATGTCCTGAAGGGTATGCTAGAAGCCAGGATCAGGGACGGTTAGTACTGTCTGAAGATATTGGGGTGACAGCCCACTAATATAGCTAGAGATTGACTCCTTCCAGAATTGGCCCTCCTCTATCCTCCCACCTCTCCCAACAGTCTTTATAAGGACTCTTCTGAGAGCTAGCTTCTGGCTCATCTGTTACTTCTGCCTGCATGTGCCCACACCCCAATGTACCCATGCTCACTTCTTATCATCTGAGTGCTTGGAAAGAAGTAGTCATTTTTACCTACCCAGGTTATACTTAGTCATATTATCTGGAACTCAGCTCTGCTAAGTGAGAGGATGCCCCCTGTATCCCCACCCTATCTGTCAGCCTCTTTCCCTAATCCTATAATAGCCAAACTGCTCACATCCCTCTCTTATCTTTCCTTGCCCAAGAATTCCTTAAGTATATGCTGTCTGTGTCCATCTGCTTATTCCATCATCTCATCTGGTGACTACCCAAATCATAATCCCACCTGCCTTCCTACTCCAACCAGTACCATGAACATGCTTGTGCTTGTAGTCATAATTTCCTTGGCCTCAGCTGGCCACTGACAGGGCCAGACTGCTATCAAACTAGTTGTTATTTACTTTGTCAGGAAGTGGGGATCAGCAAGCCTCACCAGGGAAGCACTTTTAAGGCCTTGGTTACTGAATGGAAGGGTGAATGAACTTGGTGACCAGAAAATTAGGAAAGGCTGCACACGCAGACCTGAGTAATGGCATGAGGAAACTGTTTATTTTGATGTTTGTTTATTTGTTTGTTTGTTTGTTTCGGGCCAGGGTTTATTCCCTAGGGTACTATGAATGGTTTTGTATTCCCTAGTGTATTGTCAAAGTCTAGTTATGATACCCACAGCATCACCATTACTGTAGAGTTTGTTAGGAGGTCAGAATATAGAGTTCACTCTAGACCTTTTCTTTAAAAAATGATTTATTTATTTATTTATTTATTTATTTATTTATTTAGAGAGGGGAAAAGGCAGGGAGAAAGAGAGGGAGAGAAACATTAATGTGTGATTGCCCCTTGCACACCCCCAACCAGGGACCTATCCTGCAACCCAGGCATGTGCTGTGACTGGTAATCAAATTGGCAACCCTTTGATTCACAGGCTGGCACTCAACTCACTGAGCCACAC